TGGTGGTGGTGGTGGTGGTGGTGGTGGTGGTGGTGGTGGTGGTGGTGGTGAAGACAAACGACAAGCCATAAAACTCACCCTTTTTTCCTCTTCCGTATCCCCCACGGGCTCCATTTCGAGGACCTTATGGTAGTACGGAATGGCGATGTGGCCAAGCACTGAAACGAAGCGCAACAATTACTCTGGTTGACAGCAACTGGCTAAACCATATTGCAAGTACTTCCTGCAGCAGTTGCCGCAAAAAAAACGGCCACCAGGTCCGCACATACGACACTAATATTGATGAAATCAGAAAGTGTTAGAGTGCTGATCATTCCTTCCAAAAGTAGGCACTTATTCGACAAACACAATCGAATGACGTACAATGGCTACATTGCTCCGGCAAAAAGCAGAAACCGGTGTACTGACGCTGCATAATCTATCACCAGTAACGCCAGTGAGGAGCTCTTTGAAAGGTGACCAATCACTAATTAGGCATTTAAGTAAGTAAGTCATGTTGAAAGGGACTCACTGCACTGGTGGCAGGCGCGCGCGATGTTGTAGTAGGTCTCCTGACACTCTCCTCGCAACTGCCGGTATTCACCCAGGAAGCCAATACACTGCAATGCAATATTAGACGCGATGGTGTCATGGGGTTGACGCGGTTCAAAACTGCCCAACGTGTGTTCCGTGCTAATCACCAGTGAACTGATTCTTACCTCCGGTCACCTGACGTCAGTCTGACGTCTCATGATTGGCTGGCTTTTGATCGATTGGTTGAGACGCAGAGAGGGTGACACACACTGTGGTCTCATCGCTGCTCACTATCACTAAGACACTAGCTTGCGATCCCTCTTTATGCATACTTACAGCCAATCAACACCCAGAACCATATGCACCTATGAAGAAGCGAATATAGGTGACCCACGTACACACACAAATCCCTGCAGACTACTAGTGGTGAATCAGTAGCATGTCGATACTAACTCGGCACCGTGCCACATTAAACTAGAGCTTGGAGGAATCGCCTACCTGAAGCACCGTTTTGTGACGCGAAAACAAGTGTTTGTGGACAGAAATGTTTAGAAAACAAACAGCCAGTAGTAGGGCGATGAGGGGATTGTCGGGAACGCGAGAACGAATGTCAGCCATGAGAGCTAAAAAAAACGCAAACACATCAGGTTCAAGCAGGCCAGATTGGTCGACTAATCATTAGCAGGGGGTGCAGCACGTACCGATGGAGTAGCGGCTCGATCCCCGCGCCATGCAGTCACCACAGCTCATAAGGAAAGCCCCGAGGTTTTCTCTGTCCTGCAATTACACAAAAAGCGGGCATCCGGTAAATTAACCCAATCAGCAGGGCCGAGGCAGGCCAAGTTAGCGCGTAAAAATGGGCTTGCCTTGGCAATCCGTCGAAGAAGGAACCTTGTGAGTCGGAGCTCACGCGACGTAGTTGACGCGATGTTGAGGAGATTCCAGTACTGATTTAAGTGCGAAAACTACAAAGAAATGTAAAGTTAGCGTTTCCGGTCTAGAAAAGTATTGCAATTATGATGGCCCGAATCCCCACTACACACCTCGTTGCCGCCAAAACCACGCTTACTCGGTTCGATTTTAGCCACCTACGGGTATGTTTCGTCACTGGGAGTTGTATGGGTTTGGGGTAAGCATAATTATGCCGATGAGATTCATGAAACTGAATTTGAAAACACAGAGAAAGCCGATGAGAACTCGTTTAGCGTAGCAGGAGACGAGGGAGTGACACACACACACACACACACAAAGCGCCAGACGAGCACACCCACCTCTTTCTCGATTTGGCGCAGAGCTTCCATGGCACTCTCGCCATGGCCCACCTGCAGAGCGTTGCTGATGTAGAGGTGGGTGATCATTCTGCGGCGATAGGGCGTCTCCACGATCCAGGGCAGAACGGAGGCCCAGGAGAGCACCCTGTCCAGGGTGACGTAGTCCGCCCGCTTGATGAGGACTTCGATGACGCGACAGCAACACGTGGCCCAGAGGTCCTCGGAGGAGACCCGGAGAGCTGGGTCCGTCTGCTCGTCCAGGTGAGCAAGCCCTTGTACAGACGGGTGCCTCGTCAGGTAGTACTGGAACATGACCGCGGCTGCAAACAGAGCATACACACTTTCTACTTGATTAAACAAAGTAACAAAGTTTTTTAAATACAAAAATATCTCAAGCAGAATCCCATAACACTACTGTATTTGATGCAAGATGAGAAACAACTCACGCCCAGGTCGATCACAGGAGTACACTTGCATTACATCGTGGAAGAGGAGACGACAGGATTCCTCGAGAAATTGGTCGATAGTAGAGGGAGAGTCAAGGAGTTTGCATCGCTCGAAGGCGAGTCGCATGGCGTTGGGGTCGTTGCAGAGCATTCGCGCCGAACTCAACTGCCGTGTGTCAACGCTAGGTGCAAGCGAGACAGCCTTGTGATTGCCCGTGCCGTCGTCGTCGTCGTCGTCGTCGCTGTCTCCGCTTGAATGCGAGTCTCCCCTACACGAAAAGTCGTCACAATCAGAGCATTCGGGGAATGTGGCAGAATGCCGACGTGTGTCAGCGACAAAATAAGCCCAAGACCCACATATTCAGTCGCTCCACTTCAGAGTACAAGTCCCCAGCCCCATCGCTATCACTTGAAGTGTGCTCCGCATCTTCGGCGTCGTCGTCATCGTCGTCGTCTTCTTCCTCAGCGTCTTCGTCTTCCTCGTCGCCAGATTCTTCGTTATCACCGGACGCGCGATGCTCAGACTTGCCTCGGACGTCGGTGCTCGCCGGGGCCATTAGGAGGGACGGTTCGAGAACCTTAACAAACAGTGCGCGCGTCGCTTCAAAAGTGAGGCTGACCACACACTTTATTAAGTGTGTGACTTACCTTCTACAGATGTTTTCTTCGAGCTTAAAGTCATTTTTAAAATAGAAATATTTCTGCGGTCTTTTTTGGCTCCTAAAGGATCACACGAATGGTTTCAGAACTCCGAACGACAAGTCTCCGTGAGTTACATAACTTCACAGAATAGCAAAGTTTACGATGGCAACTGTTAAACAGCACACTCGATGGCACTGCATTTTATACGAATTCCAATAAGGAAAAAAATGCCTCTAAAGCACGGGAATCAATTTGTAGTGCTGCCTACGTGTTGCATGAAACGCGTAATTACTGGTACAAAAGCGTGAGAAGTGGCGCTTTTGATTCTGTTGTCCACCCATGCCGCGGATGGCAGCCTCGAAAGTTTGACAATACGGAATCGCACGCTCTATTGGGTGAAGACTTAATATAAAAAGGCGAAAAGAGCCTGCAGGTCAGTTTGGAGTCACCCAAACAGTTACTTCTAACTAAGCGAGTAGCAAGCAAGCGAACACAGCAATCGTGAGCAAGCACGACGCAATCGATTTACGTGAATGCACTTCACGCCACTATGTTCGTTCAGAGATCGACATTAACTGATCCTGCGTAAACCGACAACTTGTTGCCCGAACAACCACGCTAATACGGCGTCAATGAGTCAGTCGAGCTACGCATTAGCTCCATCTTCTTCCTCTTGGGGGGGGGTGCCGTGTCAACGTAGATAGTCCGCCTTGATGTGGTTTTCAAACCGCAGTGGGGGCCGCAACAAATTCAAAAACTTCGAACTTGGCTCCCCCCATGTGTGTTGACCGAACACAATAACGTAGGACGACGTTTGAACACATGCCTTTCGCTACTTGCCTGGCAAAGGGAATTATTGTGGAGAATTGTGACGGGTGATGAAAAGTATGTTTCTTTTGCAAGAATCCCAAGCGTAAAAAGTCGTAGGTAGATCCTGGGCAACCCAGTACGTCGACGTCGAAGCAGGACATCTACTTGAAGGAGGTTCTCTTGTGTATCTGGTAGGACATGAAGGCTGTATTTTATTAAGAACTGGAAACGTGTTAGGCGGTGCCTGGGAAATGCTACAGTCGACAATTGAGCAAACTGAGCGAAGACCTTGATCAGGGAAGGCCAGTTGCTGAATAAGGAAGCAGATGAGGCATGCTGCGGCACGACAACACTCGACCTCGCGCGACTCAGAAGACCCTCTTGAACTCGGGATGGGTAGTTCTCCAAGACGTGGTATATTCGCCAAACTTGGCCCCATCCCACTAGCATTTGTCCCGGTAAATACGGCAGCAGCACGCCTTAGTGGATAAACAGTTAAAAACACTGGACAATGTGTCTAAATTTGTCGATGATGACCCTATTGCTTCGAAGCTTGCAAGTTTTTTTCGCGACGACATTCGTGCGCTAGCCGAGAGTTGGTGCACGATCAATATTTCCAAGATTATGCTCGTTATTAGTTATTCTTTTATGCATTAAATGCGTTCACGAGAAAGTCGGTAACACCGCCGTTACCTCGAGCGAGGCCTTCTCGTCACCAAGTCGTCGCAGCAGGTTGCCCAGTGCCAGCCTGGCCTCCGTGCAGCGAGGGTCGATGCGATTGATGACGTGGCGGTAAGTGGACAGGGCCTCCTCGTGCAGGTTGGCCTCCACTTGAAGGTCACCAAGGAGGCAAACAACCTTCGCGTTCTACAAGGGCAAAACACGCCTGATGTGAATTGGGATGGGGGCGCTCACCAGTCGAGGAAAGAAGGCACAAACTGAACACACGGATTTGGTTTTCGGCGAAGCGGCGAGCTTCTTGGCAATCGTCAGTCCTTCGGAAATCAGACCTGAGGCCTTGCAGGACTTGGCCAGGTCGAAGAACAGACCGTCGTTACGGCGGATGTCACTCGGAGTGATGGACGATAGGAGGGAAGTTAAGTGGTCCTGTAAAAAAAGGCAGAGCGTGGAAAGAGAGTATCCAATGGGAACACAAGAAATGCGTATGCAGGTATTCACCTTGATAACGGCACTCAATTGGTACTTCATGATGAGAATGAAGAATCTGATCATCACAGCCAAGTCCATATCCTCCACAAGCTCACACCTACAAAGTAAGCGAGTTCATGTAAGGTCAAGTAGAATGGAGAATGCAAGGGTTACACGGATGAACTTTTTCTTGGTAGCTGGTTCTAAGCATCATCATCATCATCATCATTTCAGATGTTATTCCTTTTATCCCGGTTCTAATTGTCCAAGCCGACGTCTTTTGGACTAGAAGGATAGTCACGAATGGCTTGATTTCCCCAACAAGACCAAGAATGTGGGAATATCCACCACCACCTCATTCTTAATGGTCAAAGTTTTGTCGTTGAAGTAATGAAAGGCGGTCAGGCGTCTTGGGGTACAGGGCGCGTAGAATCTTGACGCTAGCATTTCTCTCCCATCGCATGGGACAGAAAACCAGCGAACAAATCCAGCCCCACGAAGGGCAACAAGGAAGCGTGCCCCGCGGACTTCAATTCATCACACAAGTAAAAGCAGACGGCCTCATTACTTCACGACAGGATGGCCATTTAGCTGTTCATGGTTTACGGTTTTACTGAGTGAATTATTACAAGTGGACGGTTAAAATTACCTTCGAATGGATTCCATGACGGTGGTGTTTGAGGGGACGCGATACGGCGATGCGACCTGTCCGTTCTCGCAGATGAGAGAGGCACCCCAATACATGAGGAAGAACTACGTGAAAAGGAACCACTGCCGTTGATAAAGGTCGTAAAACAGGTGGCTGTCATTCTTCCCCTAGATGACCAGCCCGAATTAGGCAAACGACTCATGGGGCATAGGGAGCAAAGTAGTTTGAGATCACGGTGAAAACATTAACTTGAGTGTCTTGCCTTTACTTCAGGAAAGACACAGCACGGAAGCCGCGTCGTTCGAGGATGCCTGGAAAGTTTCAGACAGGCAAAATGCCAGCCGTCGTGAAAATACTCTACAGTTGAGAGTAAGGCCAGAACGAGAGAAATGTGCTGAAAGAAACCAATCGAAGTGGAGGTGGTGCAGGTGGATTACCGCGGCGACCGAGGGGACACGTGTGTGTCAGTTTTCTCAGTCCCAACTACCCCGAGCTGGTTAATCGGACTAGTCACTTCGTAAAACTTGCCCTCAGAAAGGGAAGGTGTGTGAAGCCAAGGTTGTGGGTGTGAGATCGCGGCGTGAAAATGCGATAGTGACACCCTCATACACCTCTACCTATTCACAAAGGCGGTTTGAATGTAACACCAAAAGCTGGAATAATTAAATGCTAGAAATGTGTTCAAGAAAAACTCGTAAAATTTCCGGGGTCACACCCCAAGAAGAGCAGAATCTAACAAACCTTAAGCGACTCCTCCGGACGATCCCCCTCTTGAAACAGGTCAAGCACTCGGAGTTGGTCTACAAGAAGCACCGATGGACGTGTGAGAACTCGATTTGAACACCTCTAAGGGCTTAGTTGAATTCAACACATCCAAGGGGCAATAAAGTAGACGCACAACAACCCACGCCCCAAATCGCCGAATATGGGCAACTAATGGCACCAGCATTCGGCATCGGTACTTGCAGAGCAGAAATACTCACAAAGTGCAGGCTAGGAATACTAGGCATAGCTCCACACATGCTTGTATTGATGCGCGTGTGAAGCCAAATAGTCTTGTTTTGCAAACTGACTCAGTTGACGAGCCTTTAAGATGTTTGTTATGGAGTTACTTCAAGTGGTTCTTCTCATTTACTGATAACGAGGCCAGGTTTCGGTTTTATCAAGATGACAGAACATAACTACTGGGTCATGTTGTTGGATTAAACCGACCGGAAGAACATTTTGCCTTAGTTACTGTCTAAAGTAGGTTTCGTGGAGGGATAACTTCTAGTAATAGGAATGGAGATGTGAAACTACACAACACCAGCTAATAGGAGTCCTGTTACTACTAAAATTCTAGTTAACAGCCAATGTAAGAACTCAACGCTAAGATAACAGAAGGTATTTACCTTTAGCAGGACATATTTCCGGAAGTTTCTCAAAGGCGAGTTCGTAGGTCCGGATACAGCCTCCTATGTCTCCAAGTGTCGCAAATTCCTGGTAAAAGCAATAAATCAACGGCAAATAGTAGAGCATTCTGGAAATCCCATTCTCGGCAGTGCCCACGCCTAAGCCCACTCAAAGTGAACGAAACAAGCCAGAAAGGTTTGAGGCACCTACAGGACTTGTGGGTGACTCAAAACTACTCATTTTCGGTGGGAAAAAAGAGGTCTCACCTCGGCGATTTTGACCATCTGATTGTAGACTTTGCGCGAGTCGACGCCTTTGGCGAAGAGGAGGGCAGTCAGACGCACACGAAGGGCCTCCTTCTCCTGACCGGTTGCCATCAGCAGCCCAATCAAACGATTTCGCACCTGCGAGTCGTTCCTCGAGCATCGCATTGCTGAATGCGGATAATGCATATACAAAACCAGCAGTCAAAAGCCGTGGGCACGAATAGTCACCAGGCCGTGCGAAAAACATGGACTTTTCAGCTAGATTATGTTGGGGGCAAACAGTCCATTCCAAAAAGGTCCTGATGAATCTCTTTTTAAAAAAGCATAACGAATTCGGCTGTACGTCCGTGTTGGTTGTGATTTCAACTAAATCGCCACTGGAGTAACTTGCACCAACGACCAAAGTGCAGTGAGATGAGACGGCACATAAGCGGAAATATGCGGTTTACCATTCCGAGCGTAGACGATGGCCCGTTTAAGGTCCCCGTCGTCCTCGGCGAAATCGACCAAGTTCATCCACAGGGTGGCGTCCTTCGGATTCCTTTCAGCTGCCTGCAGCATGTGCTGTGAGAAGTAAAGAGCAAAGTAGTGCAGGACACCTTGGGGAATGTGGTAAAAAGCGTGCTTTTTGTTTATGGTTGAAAGAAGAAAGAATGTGCAAACAACCAGACAAAGCTTACTTCCTGTGACTGTTGTCGAAGTCCCTGTCTGTAGAACATGTCGGCCAGAACAACGTGTGGAGCTGAAGCTTGGGGAGCTACAGGGAAGAAACATAGTCTAACCATTAAGCCAACATGCTGCTCTACGGGTTGGGTCTTCGCAAGTAGCATTAAGAACCTCTAGCGACAGCCATCCTCCTCCCAACCGAAATTATACAATTCTAGGAGCTACATTTGGTGGAAATAGAAGTAGGTTGGACTAGACAAAGTACAAAACATCGCGGTTAAACGGAACTAAGTTCACTGAGGCCGAATTACCGAACACTAGTTTGTGCATGGGCCGCTATCAAATAAATGTAAGTTATAGCAGATTAATGGAGGCTCAAAACTCACCGGAGTTGATAATGTTGAGGCAAATCTCCTCAGTCTTGACGAAATCACCGTTGTTTAAGTGCCTTTCGGCTTCGCCCAGGTAATTAGCCAGTTCTAACTTCAAATCCCACCTCTAGAATTTGAACAAAAAAGAGGCCTCATGTTTTGTGCACACCTTATTCAAATCCCAAACTCCGAAACAAGGTATCTGAAGATTATAGGGTCATGGTATCTGCCCATATTAAGAGATCATCCTTAAGGACTACAGAAAAAGAGGTGATAAATCAGATAACGAGGCTAAAATACAGACGGGAATAAGCATTACCTGGTTAAGAATTAAATTACCAACTGATTACTTTCATCTTAAAAAATAGGGGTATGGGAAATCAGAATAAGAAAAAAAGATGGCAAGTACCTTGCGTGGGGCTGAAGATTTGGTCCTCCGCTTTCTTCTAGGCGCTTCGTCTTCGAAGTCGCTTTCAGCAAAATCTACACAAAACAAAAAAATCGAAAAAAATTCACCTGTAAAGTATCTTACTGGCGAAATTAAAGCGGCCGTGCACTCGAATCTCAAGCACATTTGTTCCTATGTTAATGAAGCGATTGCGAGTACCGATACCACCTAGTCTAAACGTTAAGCACCTACTACCTGACAAAAGAAACAGTCGATGTACCACAAAAAAATATCAAATGGAACCCATTTGATGATATAACAATGTAAATGCATTCCTTACCAGGATCATACAAAGGATCCTCAAATTCATCTCCTGCTTTCCTTTTACGAGTTTTAGAAGCAGACAGCTCCCGTCTCATGTTAAACTTTTTTGAGACCTTTCTGTCATTAACTAAGCTAGGTTTTGTGTGAAGTTGCTTTATGAGTTCCTCGAACGACATGGAGCCATTTATGTAACTGCTGTAGAGTTGTTCCTCGTCCCCATAAGATACCGCCAGTGGTTTTGGCGTTGACCAAGACTCTGGATTGAAAATGTCCGGATTTTCATTCGAAGACGGCAAAGGAGTTGATTGTATAATATTATCATCCTCTGCAGCAAAAGTACTTGAGGAGAAAAATGCCTAAAAAGTGAAGTCAAATAATATTCTGGGGTTAGATAACGTACCTGAAGATCTATAATCTCATATAGAGACTCGTTTGTAGATATAGAGGCGACTGGTTTAAAGTCACCTGATTCTTCATCCTTCGTATCTTCCATGATCTATTCAAGAAATTGCATTTTATGTTTTTGTGCTCGCATTTTCAAATGGTTCGAAATAGATTTTTCATATCGTGATTACTCCACACATAAAAATCCAACTGTTTGCATTTCGTAAATGGCAGCAATCCTAAAGTGCGTCAGAACTATCCGACCAAACCACTTGAAACGAATGTTTAACTTTGATGTCAAAATAGATAAAAATGGCAAATACACTTGATAAATTCTAGCAAAGCATACTCCTAACAAGTATCTTTCGCGCAAGTATGCCTTACACCCGACGATAAATGGAGATGAACGTAAAAGACATATTCTACACAGACGCAAATGAAGCTGAGGCTAAAGAACCTTCTCCCCAAAGAAGAATCAACGCAGTCCATTGCAAGAACTCCATCCAGTTATCAGATTATGGAAAAGCCAATCGAACTCACCACATAAAACTAAAAGATTGACCTTGAAATGGAACAGTATTATTATCATTATAGGGTGAGAAGTGAAAGGTTGCTCTTGAAGCTTGTTTTGTAACCTACTTTCTTACAACATCACAGTGCAAAATTTTCAATTTGAAAACATGTAGAAAAATACCTGGTTTATTTTCATTGATATTTTTTGAAGAAATCATTGCTTGCTGAAAATTCATTTAGTAGTCAACAAATTTTTTTTCAATGAAAGCCAGCAGGAAAAGTGCTAGCGAAAAAATACTGAGTCATTAAGCTTTTGTGGCTTTGTATATGCTAATAGTTGACACTGTAGGCAACTGTTAAATTGAATAAAACCACAGATCAATTATTTGGGGACAGACCACATTACTGAAAACAAATCGCATTGTTCTAGTTTTGACCATTCGAGGATATTACTATTTTACAAACATTTAAATTAATGGAACTGTTGTGGACCTTCACAGTACTTGACCACATTGATCATTCTGGAATTTGCAAATGCAAAGTAACTCTTTCACCCAATATTGTATGTAAAAGTAACATTTTTAGTGAAGGTAATTTGGAAGAATGCATAACCTTAATCATTCAGTAGCAGTGGGCTTGTCCTACTTCATCGTTTACCATTCCTTCCGATTTAACCTCTAAAAATTCATACTAACGTCTTCGTCTACGGTTTTTTTAAATTTTTGATGATTCATATATAAAAACTCAAAACTTCGAGTTCAGGCCATTCTGATTTTATTGCCTGGGCTGGATGTTCCTCGATTTTTTTGCGAATGATCTTGTTATCTATTTTTTGAATTTCCTTATTTTTTTTCACTTGTCGTCTTTTATTTATTGACTTGACTTTTGGTCGTGGGTAACATCTGAATTTATGGAAAAAAAATTGCTTAACGTGGAGGACTTTTTTGCCCGCTCAACTACTGGTCATGCCTCTGTCGCCTTTGCGATCATATCTTTTTCCTGGTTGCACCGTAATTATATAATATTTTGATCTGACTTGATTTTGATTTCCTTATTGGGGCCTTTGCAATCTCTAAGCCACAACCAATGTTCAACTTTTAAAATGAGGTCTGGTTTATCAGTTTTTTAATTTCTATGTCATCTGGAAACACGAGGCTCCGATTTTCCGTTTGTACGACTGTCAAGTTTCAATGTTCGACAGGAATCCAACTTAATAAGAGCTTATTGTGGGCCTCGATTACGCTACCCTGCAACCCGTGATGATGATGATGATGAAAATGTGAGTGGACATGAACACAAACGTATCAGAGTTCAACCAAGTGGGTACTGTTGTGTCATGTGTGCCTTTTCGCGTCTGTAAGTTTGTCTTTAGATGTGTTAAACATTGTGCGTCATAAATGTGCTAACATCGAGACCTCGGTGAATATAATCAGATGTAATCATAATCTAGGATAATTGTTTGTACTAATGAGGTGTGAGTTGAGGTTCCGCTTGGCGAATAGAATAACCGATTTGAAATGTGTGAGTAAGCGTGATTCCCATCAGTTCTTCTCCCTTACGAAAGTGTTTGGTTCCCTGGTAAGACATTTACGAAATGCACACCAGTACGTCTCAGTTCCAAAGTGACAATGTGAGAGGTTTAACTTTTGACTGTCTGAACCCAAATAGCTCCCCTTCAGCGTTCTTGAGTGCCTTTAGCATACAGCGTTTAAGCCGTCACGTAACCTGCGTATGTAAGTTGAACAATTTATAAACTGATTTTCAGGCTGTCACTAATTCGCTTCTTAGTTATCTGTTAACAAATTTTTCCATAAGCACGTAGCATATTCTAATCTAATAGTAGTACGTAGTCTGAACCTTCACCTGATGCTCAAATAAGCCTGTCGCAAAATGCTAAAACTTCAGCCTTTCACCGGATTTATTCGAACTTCCTTAGACCTCAGTCGATGTAGTACGCCTGACTATCTTACGACTAAATCGGATCATGTCTATTATTCCACCATTTACAAGTTTGTCTTTTCTGAAAAAACGATAAAGTTAGTGTGTTAATGTTTGAAACAACTAATTGCACCAGTGCTTGCTTATTTAAAAATATGTTTCCTTTCATGCTTCCCTCATTGGTTCTTTATCGGACGCAGAGGATATACTACATATCAAGATCATGCCAAGCAATTAATTTAATGCAGTGTACCTGTGTCCATTTGCCTGTATTACAGGAGCTTTAATAGGAGATCATGTGAAATCACGTGGATCTTATCAGATAACATCACAATTAGTTATGTGACTTTTTCTTCTTCAAAATGTCAGAATTTGCAGAGAAGTGCATTATCTATAAAAAAAAATACACCATTTCAGATGGCTGATTTGAAGTTAAAACTGATGAGGTAATTCAGCAAATTCACTTGCTGGGAAATCACGCGGATGATTCAACTTATACGAGATTTTGAACCAAGTTAAGTAACCCAAGATGGGTGCCATAATACATTGAACAACACGAGCAGTACAATGCACAACTTAAAATAAATCCCTAAGAAAGCAATGTGTGCTGTCGAATTTAATTGCCTCTAAGTTTTTAGGCATTTTCCTCTTTGATTATCTACGTTAAAGGGATTTATATCCCATCAAACTCACCCCTGCTAATAATTTTCTCGCAAAAATGCCGAATTCTCTTTCATCGACCATTAGGAAATATCGTGTAAGTTGGCTCTTCGTGGAGTTAAACGATGGACAGTCCTTTTGAAAGCTCGAAGTTACCTTCCGGCGTGTAGACTTCAAGGAAGTCAGCCACACCTGAAGCCGTATTTAGGAACATTTAACTGCAAATTTGCCAAAGATGCTGTCAAACGACTACTATAAATGGCTATCCAAGGTGGCTTTTTCTGCGCTTCAGCTGATCTAAGTTTAAGTGAGTAAAGAAGGTGTTTCAGCAGATTTACTCCTTGAGAGGATAGCGGTTGGTCTTCTTGTGCCACAACAACTCCGGTACGCTTTACAAAGGCTCAATGAAATTAAACAATAAAACTAAAAAGCGACAAGTCTTTTAAGAAACCCTTTTGGTGTATCGAGTGATCATTGGTATTGACGTGGTAAGACTTAACTTACTAGCACTCTCGTAATACGGATATCAAGTATTTTGCTGGAAAAAAAGCCAGAAGAGTGAACTCATTTTGAACTCTATTTTCCAGATTTTACACATCGCAAAGTAATTACCACAAATTGTGTTTTTCCTCTGTGAAAAAGGCAGCCCACAAACTTGTTTGATTTTCTTTATTAAAACTTCGGTGATCGTTGCTCCTTTCTAATAATCTGAAACGCTAGGTTTTTCCACATTCCGGTCTTCTGCCTCACTTCAAACAAGTCTGCAAACTTCGATCTTCAGCGCTTTCTATTTCCAAAGTTAAGTGTAACTGCCTGCGTAGGAATGCGTCCACATGATAAAGTGAACCCAACTCGCCCATTTTAGAAAGTCAATTAGTCCCAATTCGAGTCCGCAAAAACTCACTCAACATGTGGACGTCAAAGTTCGTTTTAATCCCTCCTCCGCAAACCACACAGTAACCAGAGCCTTACTTATGCTGAGTGACAGTTTTTTTCATCAAACAGGCTACTTCATCAGACACTGCCACCACCTGACTCCGGTGGTTTTTTTGTCAGCGTCCACCCACGCAGGCACCCGTGCCAGTTAATTTTTGTCGCAAATCAAAATTGGGGTAGAGTCAAGGTTGTTGTTTCACTTCAGGTATTTTAGGGGCATAAATAAATGTTTCATCATGCAAGCAATAGTTCCGTCTGCCTTCCATAATTCCACACAACGCCGATTTGGTGTGAAACGTTCATTATTAGTGCTAATAAAAGGGGAAAAACGCTAAACTCACAGATTATTGGTTTCCATGTAGTTGATTTTCCAAATTAGGGATTTCCAAGTAGGGAAATTGCGCAGAAGATGTTCCGCGAATTTGATTCGCACATTTCATACTTCCGCACGACTCTTCATAAATTCAATTCAACTGCAACGTTCGTGCCTCATTTATCCTCCACGAAGGATACGGGACACGCACCTTTCATCATTCTAGGCCACGTTGTAAGGAAACTCGTATGCTGTCAATTCGGATATTGCTAGAGCATAGTATTCCCGATGACCTCTTCCAGCTCATAGTCCAGTCATTGTAAAAGTTTAGTCAGAAGACAATATCTTGTGATCATGTGCGACATTGCCGTGCCCTACCACATTCTGGCGTTTTACTCGAAAAAGGGATCCATTTTTGTCTCTCTTTCGGTGGGTTTAGAGGTGCCGTCAGGCTTTAAGCGCTTCTCACCTGGAGTCCAAAGTTTTCACAAGCCCTTAAATACTAAAACCAACCAGACAAGCCTTCACTCGTCTGACTCTTGATCTTGATTGGTTCTATAAAGAATTGGATTCTTAAACGCTTTCTCTCTATATTATGAAAAAATTTCTGCTTATAATTTGGTAAAATAAAGGCCTAGACTCTTACATCACGTTGTGATTTTGTGTGAAGAGAGCCCACTTCAAGAGACAGAATGCTTTTTTGCAATAACGTGTCTTATTTGCTCGAAACACTTGGAAATACTTTTTTT